AAACTAAATAAGTGCATAGTTATGATGAGCAAGAGTGCCTCTACTAAAATTGTGAATTTTATGGCCCCAGGGTCAGGGGTTCTGGTGTTAGGGTGGGGCTCTATAGATTATATAGTGAAAATTCATGAATTCTTTGAAAATCTTCTTCACGCTCCTGGGTATTAAATAAACTAACTAAGTGTATAGTTATGATGAGCAAGAGTGCCTCTACCAAAATTGTGAATTTTATGGCCCTAGGGTCAGGGGTTCTGGTGTAAGGGCGGGGCTCTATTGGTTATATAGTGAAAATACATGAATTTCATGAAAATCTTCTTCTCTGCTCCTGGGTATCAAATAAACTAACTAAGTGCATAGTTATGATGAGTAAAATTACCTCTACCAAAGTTGTGAATTTTATGGCCCCAGGGTCAGGGGTTCTGGTGTAAGGGCGGGGCTCTATAGATTATATAGTAAAATTACATGAATTCTTTGAAAATCTTCTTCTCTGCTCCTGGGTATCAAATAAACTTAATAAGTACATCGTTATGATGTGCAAGAGTGCCTCTACCAAAATTGTGAATTTTATGGCCCCAGGGTCAGGGTTCGGGTGTTAGGGCGGGGCTCTATTGATTATATAATGAAAATACATGAATTCTTTGAAAAATTTCTTTTCTGCTCCTAGGAATTAAATAAACTAAGTACATAGTTATGATGAGCAAGATTACCTCTTCCAAAGTTTTGATTTTATGGCCCTAGGGTCAGGGGTTCTAGTGATTTGGTGGGGCTCTATTGATTATATAGTGAAAATACATTAAATCTTTGAAAATTTTCTTCTCTGCTCTTGGGTATTAAGCAGATGAACTACCTATGTAGTTATGATGAGCAAGGACCCTAATCTTCCAGAATTGTGAATTTCAAGGCCCCAGGATCAGGGGTACCATAAGGGGGGGGGGGGGGTTGTACTTATATACTGAAACTGGATGAATTGTTTAAGATATGCTCCTTGGTATTAATCAAATATTTTTGAAAAGCAAGGGTGCCATTTCAAAAATGGTGCAATGTGTGGATCTAGGCCTAAGGGTCAGGGGTTCATGTGTGATAGGGGCATTACTGATTATTGCTGAATATTACTGTTTACTTGAAATGCATTTTTTGTTCCCCCACCCTTCCTATGGGTATTAAGTAAACAAACTAAGCAACTGCTAAGTGTATTGTTATGATGATCAATGGTGCCTCTTTCAAAATTGTGAACACCATAGCATCTGGCTTAAAACATGAATCAAATTAAATCACTGGAAAGTTGTTGGATAATGCTCAGGTGACCTATAAGGCCCATGGGCCTCTTGTTAAAAGAGAAAAGCAATTTGCATACTCAAGATACTGAAGACTCAGTATATCCACTAGACCCACGTACAAACTAGAGGTACTGTGAGCACTGAGCTCACCTAAATGATACCCCCGTCTCCCATATGATTATAATGGCAATGTTAATGTTTTGCTCTGGATGACCCAAAATAAGTGTCATATCAATAAGTAAAATAGAAGGTGCACAATGGCATTATATAATAAAGAATCTGTGAAAGTATCATTAAATTTTATTCATTGGTACAGGAGTTCCGGATAAGAGATGGGTACCTTTCAATATAATAGAAAGAAAGGCAGTGTCCATGTTGTCTATGAGAAACCTGAATTGCGTATCCCATCAAATAGGAAAACAAGGGCACCGCTAAGCGGAGCATCCCCTCGCGGCAGGAACATCACTAGTAATGGCAATATCTCATGAGAGATAAATTCTCTAGAGGGACGTTTAACATGTTACAGATTGATAGTACAACGTATCTTCGTTAATGTCCCTCTCATGAATATTTTGCTCATATAAGGCTTGCCCGTGAAGAGCTGCACATTTTTTCCAATAATAGGCACTGACGGCCATTGAGCATTGAGGGATCTTTTTGTAGCAGCATCTATTGGGACATTGGCCCTTGGTTTGCACGGTCTCATTAGAAGGACCAGTCTCCACGTCTCACAATGGGATTCAAACCCGCAACATTAGGATCAACTCCCTTACTTTTGACAAGTGTTGTCGTTGATCCAATTTTTTTTTACAAAACGCAAAGTGCAAAGCGTCTAAGTTAGGAGGGGGTGGGGGCATAATATGCATACGTAATTGGGCAGTTTCCCTTATACCTAGTAGAAACATATCACGTATGCTACATGTACAAGTTTCAGTTATTTTAATCATTTACCTACCTATTTAGTATATTTCACATTTCCAGGCAATGTGCACTTTTTTCGTAATGAAAAATAACAATGCACATCGAGAGTGAGAAGCGTCGGAACCGGGAGGGGGGGGGGGGGTTAGCCTCCCACTATTTTGCAAATATAGACAATTTCTATGCATTGAAAATTGGGGATTACCTTTTTTTGTTGGTTTAGCCCCCCCCCCCACACACACACACACTTTCAATGTAACGTGCACCCCAAATTCTCAGACACCTGGAATGTGGTAATGGAACCGCGACGTTCATCAAATTCTTTTAATCTGGTTCCCACAGACTCGACACGGCTTTTTAACTGGTTCCCTAGCGGAAATGATTATTGTCAACTCGTACATAAAATGTCAGGGTTTCGAGACAATGAAAATGCGATATCTGAAGAAATATTTCATCACTTAACTTGAAAATTAATAGGCTTCTTCTTTTTATACTGCCACGCAAGTATGTAAACGCTGAGAGTTGTTAATGCAAATGTTCTCTGTCAATCTTGCCTACAAATGATTATTGGCAACTCGTACATAAAATGTCAGGGTTTCGATGCAGTAAAAACCACAGGTACTTGTGGACAGGACCCCCCCCCCCCCCCCAATATACACCCCTGGTAAAAATATTTTTTTTTCTTTTTTTCTCAAGAATTATGTTTCTAGTACTTATTTACAATGTATTCCATATGATAAACCCAAAAAATAACATAGATTTAACGATTTACGAAAAAAGTCATACCAGGGTATTATAAAATAGAGAAGGTAAGTCACTTCGGGTTGTTAATTCGGACCCCTCTTGAATATCGGGCCTAAAATATCATATACCTATTACATGTCACCAAAATGTCTAGTCATGCCTTAATTCGGTAGAGGTTTTTGTCGTAAATCGTGCCATTTTATCAACCAAACATTATTCTGTTATCCCTTTATTAACCGTCAAACGCCAAAAATCCAGAAATGTCAAAGCAGAAATTACGGAAGTGACGAAAAAACGACACCTCGTAGTAATTTACTACAGGAACGATAACTCCACTTCTGTACTCGGAGAGTTCCGAATGTAATAGAACCAACGGAAAGAGCCGAAATTTGCGAAAAAAAAGTACGGGAAATAAAAATGGACGACGATCAACGAAGAGCATTTGAATTGGCAACTTCTGGACATAACTTGATAATTACTGGACAAGCCGGGACAGGAAAAACTTTTCTTGTCAAACAAATTGTAAGGTATTTAAGACAACTGAAGAAAAATGTTGCTATTGTATGTTCTACCGGTATCGCCGCGACTCATTATGGTGAATTAAGGGCACAGACATTGCATAAATGGGCCGGGATAGAGGATGGCAGACACTTGAACGAAAAAATAATACACTTAGTAAAGACTGATGAAAGGTTCAATGTTGCTAAGAAAAATATTGAAAATGCCGAAATACTAATTATTGATGAAATTTCCATGATTAGCGCAAAAATCCTACATCAAGTTCAGTTACTTTGTAAAAATGTCAGAAATTCAAAACTCATCTTTGGCAATATCCAGGTGATACTTGTGGGAGACTTTTATCAACTCCCACCTATTTCAAACGAACTTTTTGGAGATCTTGGAAATCATTGCTATAGATTACCTTGGTTTGAAAATTATTTCCCACACAAAATTAACTTAAATATTATCCACAGACAGGAAGATCAGCTCTTGATTCAATGTATTAATGAACTTGAAATTGGAAATCTCTCAGAAGATTGTGTTGCATTTCTTCTTTCTCTTGATAGACCAATACAAAATGAGAAATCATGTGTACACTTATTTGCTAGAAATTTAGATGTAGACTTGTATAATTACAACAAATTGCAAGCACTTCAAGGGGAGTTAAAGGTGTACAAAGCTGAGGATGAGGGCTCTCAACACTATCTCAACAAATTTCTGGCCCCTAAGAATCTAGGATTAAAACTTGGTTGTCCTGTTATGCTGATTAAAAATTTAAGTGACACATTAGTGAATGGACTTTGTGGAACTGTGACAAATTTATGTAATGATTCTGTAGATGTGAAATTTATGGAAAATCATAGTACACCAATTACAGTGTCCATTTCAAGAGAAATTTTCACAATATTTGACCCTGTGGATAAAATTGTTTTGGCGAAAAGAGTACAAATGCCCTTAAAAGTAGGATTTGCTATGACAATACACAAATCCCAGGGAATGACCTTGAAAAATTTAGTTATTGATTGCACAAATTGTATCCAGCCTGGGCAACTTGGAGTTGCCATAGGCAGAGCAGTATCTGTTCAGGGTTTGAAAGTAATAAACTTCCATAAAAATCTATGCAAAAAACATCCAGGTCATGTATACAATTTTTACGACAGTTTTTCAATTGGCATTGTGAAATGTGATCTAAGTTGTTGCAGGGATAATGTTGACATTAGTACTCTGACAGCAGATACTGGTCATAAATCTGAAGACACTGATGATGCTATCGAGTCAAAAGTTTTGAATGAGGATTTAGAATTTTCTGATTCAGAGATTGAAGAATTAGAATTCATAGACAATATTCTGGTCAAAATGCACTTCCTGATCAGTTTTCACAATCAAAACTCATTTTGGACTCTGCAGTGCAGAAATATTCTGACACACCAGTAGAAACAATTATTTTCAGTTTCAGGGATGCAATCTGCAAAAGTTATAAATATTTTGATGACTGGTTTCATGTGCAATTTTCAATAATGGAAGACATAGGACTGAATACTTTTCCTGAAGGGGAAATGTCTTTTTCTCAGAAGCATAGAAATGATTATTTTATTAGATTCAACAAGTATCTTAACTCAGATGATTATGAAAAAAGTGCAAAAACCTTGCTTAATTATTATGAGCAAAATTCTGAAGGGCCAGCATTTCAGCTTTTAACTGCAGTTATGTTTCAGATAGAGAAAGAATTTTTTCTTCAGCTTTCTTCCTATCTTCAGTTATCTGCCCCTGAGCCTGTAAAAAAGCTAACTGTTCAGTCTGACCTGGAAATGGACTCTGCAGGAAAAGGGAAATTAAGGTACATAAGTGGATACATATTAGCCAAATTGAAACATACTTTGTCAAAAAAAATCAGAAATATATTATTCACCAAAGGTAAAGAAACAGAGTTGTCAAGATTTCAATCACAAATGGAAATTCTCAATTCATTGTGTACTTCATTTGATCATTTAAATGCTACAGCAGTAGAGCCGGAGACCCTACTTGAAGTTAAACACAGACAAAATGACAGAGAGAGTCTCACTAATGTGTCTGATTTGACCTTTAGTTTTTTCCAAAAACTTGAATTATTATGCCGTGAAAAACTTACTCATGATAAGCTAGTTGATGATAGAAAATATTTATTCAGTTCTATTAAGGGAGAAATACTCGATAGTTCTTATATTTTTGACACATGGATTCAGTGTGTTGCGAAGTCGAGAAATCAATTGAATGAAAATCAAACTGAAGATATTTCTGATCTTTTGTCTTCAATGGTCATGACCTGTGATAGTTACACAGAGATTTTCCAAGCAGTTGTCTCTTTATTCCTCAAAGTAAATTTAAGTCAGTTTCGAAGAGATTTCTTAACATTTTTGAAAAAAGAGAAGAGTGTCGCACTGCGTAAAAAGGTCATGAAAAGGTCAAAAACAGTTGTGAAAACTTTCAACATGAAATTTTTCTCAGAAGATGACTCTAGCAATAAAGAAGTTTCATTATTAAGGTTAAAATCTGAACTTTTACAAAATGAAAAATTCTTTACTGAACATTCATTTACCAAAAAGGATTTGATCTCAATATGTCAGCATTTTAATTTGAAAGCTACTATGAAGCAAAAGAAGGATGATATCATAAAAGTGCTTGTCGATGGAATTCTAGAAAATGTTCATGCATCCAATCAATCTGTACTTGACACTGAACAGGCAGGACCTAGTAACTCTCAACCTTCATATGCTGATCTGACTCCCGCTGGCTCTGTATCATCTGGACCTGGCCTTTCACCACAACCTAGAGAAAGAGGTAAGAGAACATCAAGCAAAGGAAAAGGTAAAGGGAAGGGCAAAGGAAAGAAAAGAAAAACATCTGCTGACAGAGATTTGAACATGACAGAGGAAGATCTTACTAGGTATGTCATCTGGTCTGAAATTTATTAACTCCAAATTTAGGTGCAGAAAATATTTAAATGTTTCTAATGTTAATTTTAATGTTAATTCAGTGGATTTTCCATATGAAAATTCTGTTTTTTGTAATGTCATAATTTTACAGAGAAAAACCATTGGAAAAAATATTTAACATTTTCTCAAGAATAGTAAATGCATGATTAGTATTTGTTGTGGAAGCATCTCTCTGGTAGTTTATATTCAAGTTTTCTCAAAATAGGGTGGGACCAACAGAAGTGTCAGATCAAAGTTGCACATAGGAGCTGGAGAGAAATCCTGATTAAGAATTAATAGCAAGACCAGTGAGTCAGGTGAGGATTGTAGCCCATGGACCTCATGTTATAATTCATGTGAGAAATACTAGTACTGTATACACAAAAGAGGCCAAGTCTTCTGTGACAGTATTACATTGATAGGTTGGCCATTATCTATATCAAAAATTAAAAAATATCTGCAAATTCATTACTTAGATAAGTTTCTATTTACACTGTATATGTTTCTATGATGTACCTAAAATTTGTCTATAAATACTTTTTATGATTGATTGTGAAATACATGTATAATAATGTACTTTATATTATTTCAGAAACCTTTTAGTATGCCATATCTTTCCTTCTGAGCTTCTTTTTGGATGTTGTTCTGGCAATTCAGCACCTCCCGAGGCTCCCCCAGTGTTTGATTTCCTCGATACAGAGGCGTGTCCTAGAATAACAGAATTCATTGTGTTGCAGTATCCTAGGTAGGTAGGATTGGTATTAGCCCCATTATGTAGTGTCCTCTGTTGACAAAAAACATTTTCTATAACATCACTGTTTGTTCTTGATGGAATAATGGAGGCATTTGATTTTTTCAGTTTGTAAAGACAGAGCTCCTCAAAACCAAGCACAGATGATATAATGTCTTGTCTAGTCTGGTGTGAAATTAAATGCTTTTCTTTATTTTTTATTGTTTTGTTGTTTTTTATGCTATTCTCCCACTGTACGAACCAATCCATTGCATCATGATTTTCTTTCAAACGATCATCACTTACATCAGTGACAGGTCTAGTATCTCTGAAGTTTTTAATGAGGACACTAGTACATTTTAGGAGTTTAACTGTCACATCCAGTTGTGACCCTTCTGAACCAAGACTATCTTGATAAAGTTCCATGAGATGTAGCATATTCCCATCTAGTACATCCTCAGCTAAGTGATTCCTCATTTTGGCCTCAGGTGTCATAAACAAGTGTTCTTGGGATAATTTATGGTGTACTGGAAATGCATAAGATGATATGTCCCATATATAAGCTTTCCTAAAATGATTCCACTCAATGTACTTATCACCGAGCATTAAATGTCTCTTGCAGCTAGCATCAGTACCACTTTTCAATATGTTATTGCGAATTTTTTTTATCACATGGGAGATGTCCATTATGAAAAAAATTTGGGGGTTATCTAGACAATATATGTTTTTGAATGAGCAGGTTACTGGGTTCATTGTGCTAAATTCTGGTAGTAAAAGATTGAATAAGTCTCTGTTGGACTGAGCCCCATCGGTACTTATATACTGTATTTTAAAACCAAAACTTGATAACATATTCACGGATTCCCAAAGCAACAAGTAAAGTTCATGTCCTGAGGCTGTAGTTGAGGGAAAATGGGCAAATGGGAATCTGAACCCTGTAAACCCCAAAAACAGGAGTTGGAGGGCATGTGTTGCTAAAGGTAACTGTCTTTTACTTGACGAGATCTGGTTAAAAACAATGGACTCAGGAGTGCATTCTGAGAATCCAATTAATTGAATTTCACCATCTTTTTTCTTGAATTGTAGATCTGATTGAACAGACATTTCGTCAAATATTAGGCCGCCCTCTAACCCCTCTGGTGGAATTTTCTTCAGCTGGGCTTCATTCCTCATCCAATGAAGCACTTCTTTAGAGAATCCTGCCTCTTGATGAACTTCATTTTTAACTCTTTGTAGGAGTTTTTGAGAGGGAAGAACCAAAAACTTGCTATTTCTTAAATCTGTGTAACCACGAGGGCTTCTACACCACAAATTTAAACATAACCGAACTACATCCCTATTCCACCTTCTCCCATTGGGATGTCTATCAAGTGCTATTTTTTGTGACTTTAAAAATGTTTTCATTTTGTTAGTACAATCAGGAAAAATTTTGCTCAACAGTTCAGACATGTCTTTATTGTCTGCTTCACACAATGTAACTGTATTATGCAAATCATCACTTTCCACACAGAGTTCACTTGGATTGCATCTGCAATTATTTGTATTTTTGAAGAATGATTTTTTTTCAACATTTGATTCAGACTGTTCTTCATTTTTATCAGATTGATATTTAGTTGATCTCTGGAGTTTTTTACAAAAGGTACAGATAAATGACATATTTGTCGCAGCTTGAATTGGTAAAACATTTATACAGTTTTTTGAGCGGAAGCAAATACTGCTGAAATTTTCATCACCAACTTTGGACAAGTGCTCTTCAAAAAAGGTAGTTTTCTTTTTATTTTCCCCAATTTTCTCAGCCCCTTTGCAAAAAGAAAGGTGTCTTATAATTTGGAATATTGTGCTGAAACTGTAATGTTCATTTTGTTCATTGATGCCAAGACTTGCTGGTTTAATAGTTCTTCCACGAATATTCATATGCCAAATTTTATCACTTTTCAGAGAAATTTCAATCATTACTTTGTTATTGTTTATTATGTCACCAGTAAAATGACCTAATTTAATACAGTCTGCAGTCTTTGAAAGCAAAAAAAAATCTTCTGGGATAATTGAACTTATTTCACTGAAAGGAACATCAGACAGTGGGGATTTTCTCCACGAGATTCCCAAATATCTCTTTGTCAATTTTGACCAGTCATCTTTTGAGCGAACTTGTATTATTGTGACATTTTCAAATAACCTCTTTATTATATTTCCTACTGCAAGACCAGTCACTGTAGCCTTGAATTTTGTTATAATGTCCTGTAAATCAACGTATTCAGTGCCTGTGGAAGCTTCAAAATTTTCTAGTAACCAGATGTATAAAGAAGAAATATTTTTTTCACTCATTTTGAATACCTTTGCTTAATTTCATCTCTTTCCTTATTTTTTGCGCTTTAAAACAACCGCCGAAATATTTCCCGTACTTTTTTTCGCAAATTTCGGCTCTTTCCGTTGGTTCTATTACATTCGGAACTCTCCGAGTACAGAAGTGGAGTTATCGTTCCTGTAGGAAATTACTACGAGGTGTCGTTTTTTCGTCACTTCCGTAATTTCTGCTTTGACATTTCTGGATTTTTGGCGTTTGACGGTTAATAAAGGGATAACAGAATAATGTTTGGTTGATAAAATGGCACGATTTACGACAAAAACCTCTACCGAATTAAGGCATGACTAGACATTTTGGTGACATGTAATAGGTATATGATATTTTAGGCCCGATATTCAAGAGGGGTCCGAATTAACAACCCGAAGTGACTTACCTTCTCTATTTTATAATACCCTGGTATGACTTTTTTCGTAAATCGTTAAATCTATGTTATTTTTTGGGTTTTTCATATGGAATACATTGTAAATAAGTACTAGAAACATAATTCTTGAGAAAAAAAGAAAAAAAAAATATTTTGACCAGGGGTGTATATTGGGGGGGGGGGGGGGGGGGTCCTGTCCACAAGTACCTGTGGTAAAAACGCGATATCTGAAGAAATAATTCATCAGTGGACTTGAAAATTAATAGGCTTCGTCCTTTCATACTGCCACACAAGTATGTAAACGCTGAGAGTTGTTAATGCAAAGGTTCTCTGTCAATCTTGCCCACACGGTAACGAACACACTAACACACACACATACATACGCACATTCGCGATGCTTTATCCCCTCCGCAACTAGTTGCGCGAGGGGATAATAAGCTGTGCACAATAGCATTATGTAACAAAGGTTCTGTAAAAGTATTAAATTTCATTCAGTGGAATAGGAGGAGTTGCTGAGAAGAGATGGGTATCCCAAAGCGTAAAGGACGGACGGACATCCCGATCACTATATACCCTCCCATTTTTCAAGTGAGGGTGTAAAAAAGGTTAATTTTTATATTCTCGCTTGAAAAGCGGGAGGGTATTTAGTACTCGATATGTCCGTCCGTCTGTTTGTTACGCTTTGGGGTACCCATCTCTTATCCGCAACTCCTCTCATACAACTGAATGAAATTTGATGAAACTTTCACAGAATTTATTTTACATATTGTCATTGTGCACTTCCTATTTTACTCTTTGATCTGACACATTTTGGGTTTCCCACAACAAAACATGTACATGTACACTCCCATTATATTCATATGGGAGGCGGGGGTATCATTTAGTGAGCTCATTGCTCACAGTACCTAGTTTTTTACCCCCATACCCCTTCCGCACTATTTGAAGCGGAAAAGAAATGTATTTGGGCCTGTCACCGAGATTGGTATCTACATAGAAGATCTGAAAGTCCACTGGCATACTGGTGTCAAAAATTGTATGAAGTTCCCTTCTCTGTCAAAGTAAGCCCATAGGTATTTAGCTGTACCAGGAAAATCTGATGATGCTAAAAATGAACTCGAAACTGTAAATAAAAAATGTCCTTGTGTATCTTGCTGCTTTGTAATTTGTATACATGGCGGGTTTAACCGGTTGGAAGGGGATGCTCACTACTCTATGGCACTTGGTCCCACCTCTGATGTTTTGGAGGTCTGTTTTTTGCTTTATTATTTTTCTATTGTTCATTTGATTTTCGAGCTTGAATACTGTTTATTATCTCCTTAAATTTCATGTAATTGTTCTCATTCCTTAAGTAATTTAAATGAATTTAATTACATTTTTCAAAGTAATTAAAAATAATGAATTACATTGAAAAAAAAATAATGTAATTGTAATTGCAATTTATTGAAAAAATTATCAAATGTGTTTGAAAGTAATTAATTACATTTCAAAGTGGTCGCCCACGTGGCACATTGGTTAGAGCGTCTGCTCTAGAGTCATGAGGTAAGGAATTGATCCATACGTCGCGGATTCTAATTCCACTGAGACCGGACCTTAGGATGAGACAGTATAAACAGAGGTGTCGCAGTAGGTGCTGGCCAAAGCCGCTTGCGTCAAGGATACTGTATATTCTTTATATAATGTATTGTCGAGGAAATTCGAAGTATACTCGTAATATTTTTTTTCAGTGCGCACTGTTAATTTTTAGTTTTTTGTAAATCTTTCTGCCACTAGAATGTCACAGAAATTCGATTTTATGCACGCTTTGAAAATGACATATCCCACTGTATACTAAAAAGAAGCAAGGCTTGCAACTTAATTTGCTCCTTTCCGTGCCCCAGACTCGATTTTTTCCCTTTTAAAGTTATATGCACCGCATACCAGCTGAATAACGAACCCCCATCTCTCCAGATAATTCTTATATAATGAAAAAAATCCTCAGGTATAAACTTTTCATCCATTAATCAATTTTAATTGATGTAATTCAATGACAAACAAGAACAAAAGAGCAATAGACAGAACCTATTAATGGCACTGATTTGGGGTTTTGGTTATTGATTTATTACAGTTATAACTCATTTTTCATGCATGTGGACGAAATTAAAATTAAATGTCTTAATATACAAATGAATTAAATGGAGATTACAAACATTAATGAAGATGGAATCCATACATATCAGGTATGGTGGCATATTTATGCCATCCACATAGGTTTTTGTCAAATCAAGAAAACTACAGTATCTCGTCAGATATTTTCTGGTTTGTTGACAAACATCGACTTTACATCTTGTCCAGTCAAGATAATATATCAAATTTGTTGCAATCGCTAACTTGACATGACGAGATAACTTATCTGGCTTCATGAATCAGATTGATATCGCAAAAATACGATTTTTTATCTTGACTGGACAAGATATAAAGTCGGCGTTTGTCGACAAACAAGAAAGTTATGACTTGACGAGATGTTTATCTTTATTTGACATGATGCCATGTTAACGAAATGTTATGCGTATGGCAAAAATATGCCACCATAATCAGGACTAGAGGAAACGCAGATCATCTAAAAAACAGCAGAGATGGGATCAGGTCCCATGGAAGAGTAAGCATCCCATGCTTATGGTCACACCCGTTGTAAGCTCTTTGTCATAATCGGGAATGAACGGAATAATCTGTCAATTTTTTCAGTGTTTAATAATAACCTTACAATAATTATGAAAAAAAACATCAGTCAGCATTATATTTGCTGACAAGGTCATCGTATCGACCATAGAAGACTTGTACGAATGAACAATGTGCGTTACTTTTTTTTTTAAACTCTATGTGAAAAACTCAATATTTTCTCTTTGATAGATTGTATTAGCTGACAAGGTCATTGCATCGACTACAGAACTTATGAAATGATAGCTGTTAATATGAATGAACAACGTGCATTATTTTCAATGTTTTGGAGAACTCTGTAAAAAAACAACTCGATAATTTTGTTGCACGTGTAAATGAAATGAGGGCGAGGCTTGCCGAGCCTCCCGTCACGTTTTCGAGCCGAGCCCAGTCATCGCTTACATTTCAAAACAGTATCAATCTATTTTGTTTTTTATTATCCAGCATCTTTCTTACATCTAACCTCCATAACGAGCTTTTTTTCTAACTGATTTAGGTACATCTCTTCCGCTGAAACTAAAGACACTATGGCATGCATGACCTCGCATTTCTTTTTGAACATCGGAATACATGCACGAGGCTTTATTAGGATATTGACCGAATAAAGCTCAGGTTTGGTTTATTAGGTTCTTTTACTGGGTCAATGCAAGGGTTAGTTGCAGGATAAATTGGTTTATACGGTCTCAACTTACATAAGGATCAACTCCTTACCCAGCAAATCTAGAGGAGACACTTTTACCACTGCGCTACGCGGGCGACCACATACAATTGAAAATATATTTAGGCAAAAGTGCCTTTTTGATGATAACGAACATATATTTGAGAAATATGCTTTAATAAACTAGATTTGTTTTTCAAAAGAACATGGACGTACGCGGTCTGCACGTTTCATTTGTATTGCTGTCTTCCCAGCTCATCATCATTCCCTCTGTCAGACAGCTAAGTCTGTCTCAGGAACAAAAACAAATGTCCACAACAGGAAGAAATAAGGAAATAAGGAATGGACCATCTGATACATAACAAAACAGACTGAAGCTCGTGAAAGAAACTCGGTATGACTTGAAGCCGAATAAACACTCGCCTTTATTTTTTGCGTTATGCCTTGCCATATCGAATCATAAGGAAGGATGATTAATGAGATATGATGAATATTTTTTCATAATCTAACACCTCCAGAACTCAACCATCGATACCTATTATTATAAAGGATATCCGTTTTTTGCCTACTTCTAAGGAAACGAGAAGGCCTTTGATATCACTGATTGTAATGGAGACGTTTATTTTCTCTCTGTGTTTTAACGTATTCTAATATATCTTCATAACTAACTTTCACAACGCCTGGATGACATGTAATACTGATAAGTATTGATAAGCTATATATCAGTGTAGATTTTTGACGTTTTATTTCACAGATCTTTATATATAAAAAACGATTACAAATTTCTATTGGATAAGACTGCGCGGCAAACCGCACAGCGTATATAAAAATTCGATTTATTTCTTTTTCCATTGTATGTTTAGGTTTGAGAAAGGACAACGTGTACAATGATATTTTTTACTGTATAAAGTGAAAAGTTGTTTATGGCGGCAAAATCATGAGAATTTAGCAACACTACTAAACTAAAAAAAATAATGGAAAATAACATTTTTTGAGAAAAAAGACTCATTTCATACAAGATGTGCTTCAACAACATGTGGTAAAGGAGTAAAAAAGGCAATTTATCGGCAAGACCAATTATTTCATTACATCTCACAGACGCTTTCATACCTGTCAGTTATTGAGTTATTATGGCATGTTGCAAAATATTGCTGGCATTTGGATTTGTAAATTCTTAAAGTGAAGAGGTAAGCCTTCAAATTTTCTTTTTATTCATCAACATCTGTTTTTCTAGTCCGAAATATATGACGTTTTCCATGCTTTTTTTTCACGATTTTGATATTTTACGTGTCAGGAAAACCTGGCACGTAAAATTGGGGGAACTGTCTATAGACTTTTGTTTAACGTGGGATTTTTTTTAAATGATCAGAATTTAACAGAGGGAGAGAGTGTGTAGAGCTATATATCTACACTTGGTATTATTCTCACTAGAAAAATATCCAATACGTTTAGATATGTTAATGTTATTTTACTTAATTTGCCTACTGCTTTCTCCTTTATAGATGAAATTCCTCTTCTATTTCAATATTTTATACCACAATATACCGAAAAGATAGTTAACTGTTCAGTAATTTCAAAAAATATCACCAGGTTCAACATTCATTTATAAATACCTATCGTAATCAAAATTTCCATTATTAAACTATACATTAGCTATGGAGATAAATTTCTTTCGAAAGATCTTCTTAGGCTGAATGTATACTTTATAATAAGGATTTACTACCCTCCCCTTTTCCAAATAGAAAGGTTCCATGTGTATATAAACAAAGGACATACTGTCTTGATTTTTATTTTTTAAATGGACATATTACAATACGTTGAAAGTTGTTCTAGATAATTAATGAGAATGATATCCTTTGTAAAAACAACATTACAATGATTGTATGTTTTAAGCAAGTATCAAAGGAGAAGTGATTTCTTTATTTATTTATTTCCACAACACAGGTCGATAAGTAGCCCATCGTGCATGTTCAGCTCTCTGATCTGTCGTGGGTTTTTTTTTTCGGCCTAGTTGTGCAGCTAATTTAAATCATGAATATTAGAATTTAATTCATTTCGAATGTTTTAATCATTTGAATGTTTTTGAATAATTTACAAGACATGGTACTTTAAAAAATGAAAATATCTGACAAATATTATGCTTAAAATGTTTGAAAAAATTGAAGGTTTCAGTTTTGATGAAATTTAAAGATTCTAAAATACTACAGGAGTGTATTATTTTCTGCAACTATTATTTTTGCAGCAAACTCATTTTGATCAAGTAATCATGCGTTTTCGACTAATATTTTTAAAATCATACCGGTATATAGAGTGCTAATGATTAGTAGGAAAAAATGAGAAGACAACCATTGAATCAATAAGTGAGATGACACACATTGAAGGAAAAATAAGGGGGCGTGGTGAAAGACAATTCGTGTATAACTTAGTGAAAGACGCTTGCAAATAAAATACAAGTAGATTGACTAAAATCACAGTTCAATCTGGAGCAAATAAATTCACTGATTAGAAATTCTGTATAGCTAAAGTATGTTTGAGGGAAGAGGTGTAACTTCACCTATGAAGGTTTTTAATGAAGGTAAAATTGCCCTTTTAAAGGGAGTTTCAAGGGTAACATAACTCCCACGGTACTACAAGGGGGGCCTCGTTCTAGAACCAATTTACTGGAAGCATTACACCAGACATCTGCCTCAGAAAACGCTTTCACACCCCCAACCGAAATTTATGGACTGGACCTGAACTGCACCTCACAGTGTGAATGTAAATATAACTTCCCCCGGTGCAGGTCACAAACAGAACATAATCATTGTAATAATTCCTTGTAAATATATCAGGACTAACGTAACACCGATGAAAAGATAGCCCAGAACAAATATCCGTTCATAATTACTTGTGCTGATTAACGAGTTTTCATGACAGGTAGCGTGACTACAGCGTCTGACGACGCAATTACTAGTTGATAAATTTATAAATTGAAAAAGGTGAACATAACAAGCAGTGATCGATTTCAAAGAAACCTTCAATCAATATAAATCTGTAACGATTAAGCCCCTTTTAAACCCTATTGTATGACTTACGTGATGACTTCAATTTTCCTATTGTCATTACTTTTTATTTATGTGCATTTATAATATTCCTCTTTTTACCTGCAAATGTTGTTTAATCTCACAACTCGATCCTCAATAGCATGCTCCGATAACGATAAGTTTTTAAACTGAGGCAGGCTACTGACAAGTAGGTTGCTCTTTCAGGGATTTCAGCAAATCTCGCTTTAAGTCAGAATTTCGTAAATGATAATGTTGTTGTAATTACATTGTTAGGATATATAACCTATACGGTCATTTGGTTGTATTTTGGCTGACTTGTTCCTTACCAGTTATTAGTCTTTTTTACAGAAAAAAATGAAATGGTCGCCCGCGTGGCGCAGTGGTTAAAGTATCTGCTCTATAGTCGTGAAGTAAGGTGTTGATCCTTACTTTCCGGTTTCGAATCTCACTACGGAATGTCGAGACCGGTCCATCCGTTGAGACCGTGAAAACTGAGTCCCTGTGTCGCAGTAGTTGCTGGCACGAAAAAAATTCCCTCACTCCATGTGTAGGACAAAAATTTGTAGCTCTCCACCGCCAAGTTGAAGCGTCTCCAAATGAGTGGGAAAATCTCGAGAGAGACGTTAAACTACATACATGTATAAACAAACTAGGGATTGCTTTATCTACCTGATCAATTTTCACCTCACATAGTAGTATTTCACCAATGACTTACCCAGTTAGTTTTATACATAGAGAATATTACATACTAAAATCCATATCATATGTCATATCAGCCCGAGTGGCCCCATATCAGCCCGAGGGCCGGAGGCCCGAGGGCTGATATGGGGTCCGAGGGCTGATGTGACATATGATATGGATTTTAGTATGTAGTATTCTATTTATCATATATTTAAAACACTAATATGCAAGTTCACATATGGTCATTGATGAATATTTCGTGCTTGTTTGTGACATTTCTCTTTAAATCTAATAAAGCCTATTTTAGGTAACTGAGAAAATTTAAGATCATAAATGTCATTAAAGAAAGATATTATTATGAATATTAAAATAAAAACAAGAAAATTGACTTGTAAACTTAATACAAACGTCACTTCCGGTTTGATATGGATTTTCGGCCCGCTGGTCCGATACGTGATATGGCTTTTCGGACCGGTCCGTGATATGAGGTATTGTGACGTCACCCGTATCACACCGTGCAGAATTGGTGTATTTACTACTAAGTATATGATAAACATAAATTATCGCCAATACTTTTGAACATTAACTTTGATTTAATTGTTATTTAATGATTTTTTTCAAAAGTACTTAATATTTTCAAAGGGTTACAGAGAATAACAAAGAATACCTATTAAAAGAATTGAGAATGTGAATTTCTTTCCGTTCGACAGGTTAAAAAAAAATCGCCATTCTGTTTCATAAATGTGTTTGTTACTAAACAATCATCATCATTTTACAGAATAATAAAATCTTTTGATAACATTAATGGAAAAAGAATATCAAATAGCTCGATGCTATCTCATATAGCAGTCTAACTTTAGATTACTATTCCAAGTGCAATGTACTTCCTGGTGACTTCAATAACAATCAGATGTTGATTACTGGCATAAATTGTACAGCAGCTGTTTTTATTTAAATTGAATCAATTTTGCGTTGTCATTTACAATACCATATGCTATATTTCTTGATGTTTTCAATAACAACTGGTTTGCAGTCAGGTACATGTATTACTGTAACTCTATCATGATCTTTAGTAATATTTTACTCAATTTAGGTTTTCGATTTCGTCTTACCAATTTTATTTAATTTCCTGTTTTTACTAAATATAATTGGCATATTTTCAAGACCGTTACTTTCTGGCATAAGCTTTATTAAATTAGAATTGTTTGCATAAGATTGGTAACGACACCCAATAAATATTTTATTTAAGGTAAAAAAAAAAATAATTCTTCAATGTCCTAAATGTAGTTTTCCTGTATTAATATTATATATATATATATTTGTTCCTTAATATATTCTATAGCTAACCAACACTAGTACTGTAATGTATTTCAGCATCATTACGGTCCGTTATCTTCATATTTCATTCCAATCAAAACAACAAAAGGTCATCTGAATCTAGATCTACCTTGTTTGGTTTTTTTCAACAGTTTGTTTAAAAACAGTTCTTTTAAACACGTATTTATTTTCGTGAATACAATTTGCACCTAGCCCTTCATCCCTAGGGGATCGTTGCTTGCAGTAGGAGACTGACAAACCTGTTGTTCACAGGAACATATTTGTTTTCCTGCAGACTGTAACATTCATCTGGTTAAACATAATCATTATCACAATAGAGGGTTGTGTTTATTTCTTGATTTATTTTCTGGTTTTATTAATAAAATATTAAAACAGTTTGTCAATAAAGTCATAATTCTTCCTTCTTGCTTCAAGAACATAACAAATACATAATCTTGAGCCTGCATGTTTAGGAGAAGTTCGATTTAAAATCCCTATGTGAATTGTGCAACAACATCAAGAAAATCCCTTGTTTTTTTTTTTTTTTTTTTTTTTTTTTTTTACATTTTATACTGATTTTGCTTATATTTTCAATTTACATATTTATAAGTTTATTCTAAAAATCTTTACCGTACGTCTTTCATTTGGAAATATCAGGTAAAAAAGTGTATTCATTTGCAATTTGTCTGTTCGTAATGTATGTAAGACATGTCATGTATGATCAGATTTTAAATTTAATGGCTAATAATTCTTTTCAGATTCATTTGCCATGAAAACTACTCAGAGCATATACGATGCTGTACTACAACATATGCAACAAAGCAACTTTTCCTTTAACTTCACTTTGAGCTGGCCACCACAAGAGCAGGATGAGTATCCAAGCATCTACAAAACAGGGAGGACATTTTACGCCTATTTCACACCGGTGATTCTCATTGTTGGCTTCATAGGAAATTCTCTGTCCTTTAATGTGTTTATGTCTAAAGGAATGCGAAACCTATCTGCAAGTGTGTATCTCGCTGCCTTGTCTGCAACAGATCTTGTTACTCTGTTGTGTTATGTCATGGTTGAATGGTTTCGTAGAGGATTAGTTTACTTGCAGCCTGAGTGGAAAGTTAGCTTTGTGGATACGGATTATCTGTGTCAGTTTCAAATGTACACTTCGTACGTGTCACGAATGTCGTCAGTTTGGCTAGTGGTTGCTTTCACGGTGGAGAGGTACATTGGTGTTTGTCATCCACTTCGGCGGATTGATATATGCACTGTAAGTAGTGCCCGTAGAATAGTAATCTGCATATTTGTTACGTCACTAACACTTGTTCTGTATAAACCATTTATGACTGGAGTTTTTATAAGTGGAAATGGAAATAAATATTGTACCACGTATCCTAAGTACAACCTTGAATCCTTCATCCTTGACAGTGTGTACGGTCTATTAATCACAATTATACCTTTCACAATCATCTCTGTGATGAATTTTCTCATCATCAACAAACTCTTTGCCAGAAAACGGAAACAGAAAAAGACAAGAATTCTGTCAGAAGAAGCCTTAGTGCGTTTGGAATTTACTTCAATTCTGTTTGTGATATCATTTTGCTTCGTAGTATTCAACATTCCATTCCTTATCATGTGGATCCGGAATTTTTTCCACTCCAAACACATTTCAAACCAAATCAATGAATCTTCTTACAAAGTAGACTATTGGCGAGGAATTCTATATATAACACGTACTATTTTTTACGCAAATTACTGTATTAATTTTTTCTTGTACAGTTTGACAGGGGCTTACTTCAGACGGGGTTTGAAAGCCCTGTTCTGCAGGAAATCTGATGGACTCCTCAGATCCCACAGTGTTTTAACAAGATACAACTCACATTCGCATACAAATCAGTCATGGGTTTAACTTATAGACTGTGCACAACCTTTTTACTTATTTTTTGTATGTAGTCCTTATTAACAGAATAAACGTTTCTGTTTTTCTCTTTGTTTATACATAGTAAGTTAGTTGTGTGCAATGTACATGATATAATTGCAGGCAGTTCTCACAAAATTGATGCTTGAGAGACATCCCCCAAACAAATACGAATGATGCTCTTTGTCCACCAAATCGTGACCTGCAACAGAGTCTTGTCTAATTTTTATAATGCCTAGTTTATTTATCTTTACATTAAAAGATTTTCGAACATTTATTACTGTTTTATGTTGAAAAGGATTATAAAAATTCTAATGAATGTTTTGTTTTTTCTTTCAATGCAACTTATTTTACCTATTTTTGTTTCGAGTGAATGATCTTGATCTCCACTCAATGAAACATACCAAGAATCATTCAACTTTTTTTCACACAAAATCGCAGCAGGGGGGTTGTTTTCCTGGACACAACAATGCTTAATGCAAAAACATATCAAGTTAAAACGTAAGTATGTATATGACACTCACAGGAAAGCTTCATGTAAATAAGCAATAAAAATAGCATGAAAACCCCAAGCAAAAAACCCTAGTCCACCCCTACCTGCGGAAAGGAAACAGTGTTATGCATCGATATAAAATTTGATGTTTTTCGATGAACAACTTAAAAGGATCATTAAAATTGACTGTCTTTCCTATTTTGTAAACCTAAAAGATATTTTGTTATTAACAAGAGAAAATGAAACATTTTCCCCAACGTTGCACTCGGCGTTCCGGACAATAATGGTACATATACTTCTTCCACCGGTATTCATACATTAAAGTTTGCTTTCTGTCGCACAAAGGAAGACACTCGACGGAAGGACAAGGGGATAGACTATTGGTAAGGAGATCGAAGAATAATTTTCACTACACGTGTGAAATCAATAGAGCTTTGCCCTACAACAAGAACCCAAGATCTAGAACTAAGCCATATATCTCAAAATTTTGGAATAGGCGCCCTTGCTAATCACAATCATGGAATTAGTACATGTATGTCTGCTTAAAATCTAGTAGGAGGAAAGTTTTAAAAGTTTCCATGTCCATAATATGAATAAGGCCCCACCCTAAATCCACAGCTGTCTGCTTGATGAAGTGGTTAGGGCGTCTGCTCATGAGTCGCAGAGTAAGGACATTTTTATCTCCATATTTCATCCTGTAGTCATTCACTCGAAATCAAAACTGAAAGTCCACTTCTTTTGACAAGAATATGTTTGCTATAGGCCTAATGAATTTATATCTACCCTACCTACCTAGTCCTTGTTATGCCCGTGGGCACATAGGGCAAGGAATGAATTTATGCCATACTGAATCGGAATTAACCTTAAAAGCATAAAAAATAAAGAAATGTTTCTCAATTTTTTTACTCATTGACATACATCAGTGAAACCATTTGCATGTTTGTACATACACATGTAATTATGAATGAGCTGTAAACCATCATTGTGAAGTTTAAGAAGTCAGGGGAGGACTGTGAGATATGGAGTTGTTTTTCGTTTGTTTAACGTCCCTCTCGAAAATTTCTCATATGGAGACGCCACCACTTGCTACGCCTTGCAGGGGTATTTGAAACAACGACGTAAGGATAGACTTCTTTCTCCGAGTAAACGCTCTCTTTTAAAAATCTCTGGGCGACTCATATTTGTTGGTTCTTGCCTACTTTAATTAATGAGTCTGAAAACATTTCGGTAGAACATTCTTTTGGGAACCACAATAATACGAAAATGAAAAAAAATGATGACCATGTTTGCAGATTACAATTTACAGAATTCCTAAATAAGTAGTTTATCAGCTATCTCTGTTCCTTCTGATGTATTGTTTTCTTCGTTATCTACGTAAAGCAATCTGTCTGTTATGCATTGAAGCATGTTGAATGAGAAAGGACACCCAAATTACGAGTTCTGTGAAATCAGTTCAAATGGAAGATAACAAGAACTGACTAGATGTTTCTGGTGAATCTTGACAACTACATAAAAAATACGAGTAATTTTGTCCGAAACACGCGTCACTAGTATTCATTTTACTACCTTGCGTTGTTAAATACATCTTTAGTTTAGCAGTTGGATTGTTCAGGAGTAACAAGAAATGTGTGAGCCAATGCTCACTAGTAACACCCTGCTCTGATGTAAATAAACACTATCATGTTCAACAGGCAGATGCACAGAAAAATTTGAAATTGACAACAGATTCATATTAAAATTAATCCGACCATAAGGCATGCCTCAACAAAGAGTGTACTAAAATTTCAAGCATCTGCTATGAATAGTTAATGAGAAAACTGCGACGAAAATTTGTTATGTATGATACGGACAGACGCACAGACAAACAGGAAGTTGACATCGGATTTGAACAAAAATGTATCCCAATGTATGGAATGCCTCAGAGAAGATTTTGTTAAAATTTCAAGCATCTGCGATGAGAAGTTGCTGAGAAAACTGCGACGAAAATTTGTTATGTATGAAACGGACGGACACACAGACAAACAGGAAGTTGGCATCGGATTTAAACAAAAATGTATCCCACCATATAATATGCCTGAGAAAAGTTTGTATTAAAATTTCAAGCATCTACGATGAGTAGTTGTTGAGAAAACTGCGACGAAATTTGTTACGGACACACAGACAGACAGACACACACAAGGGTGAAACAGTATACCCCCCTCTCCTTCGGAGCGGGGGTATAATAATAATAATAATTGTGTTAGTTCTAACCCAACCAAATTCGTAAAGTGCTATTTCATCAACCTTTTATTGTAGCCGGAAACTTTTACCTTATTTCCCCTTGTAATGATTATGTTTATCTGAGGTCAAAACGTGACAATTTCCGGTGATGATGACAAGATGTCCTCTCGTTATAACACCCTAAAGTATGCGCACGTTGAAGGAGAAAATTCTTGTCACTACGAGTAGAATTAGATATTATTGATGTTCTACATAATTCATTTATTGCCAGAAGCTGCTTAGACTTGTCCTATAGTTAATATGAATTGACTGCATTGTTGAGTGGAATCCAATCGGCCTAGATTGAAGCCTTCTAAATGTCTTCTCCAAATGTTTGTCTTTCTTTCTCAATTGCCTTGACCGGTCGTTGTTCTTTTCGTTTTGATTTTGAGGTAATTAAAATGGTTCTTGCACAAACGACACGTTGCAAATCTCAGAAAAGCATGTTAATCCAATCATGAGGACGGAATGATCAAGATTTGCATTTAGTATTATTTTGGGTCATAAATGAAAGAAATTCATGCATTCAATTTTTCCTCATTCGGTGTAATACTGCAATATTCTACAAAATATGTCAATATAACATGATCAATATTTCTTTTTCAATTTAAGTAAGAATCCAAATGTATATAGAAGGTAGCAATTGCTAATTTAAATAAGAAATGCAGAAGCATAGCATTGTTAGCCTTCTTATTCTTGAAATTTTCACATATTTTAATGAAACGCCACTGCTTTCTGGCTTGGTACTACAAGCTTAGACCTGTCCTCGGCACTGTTTTCAGGCCAGTAAAATTATTGCGACACGGGTCCTTGGTTGAAGGGACCAGTGAGAAAAATATTAAAAGTGAATGGTAAGAAATTCACTTTTGTCTTATAGCCATGATCTTGGCCTTTATTTTAGGTTGTATATTAATTACGCCCTCCTTTGAAGAAGGGAGTGCATATTGCTTTGCTGCTGCCTGTCGGTCGGTCTGTCGGTCAACTTAGTTTCCGTTCATTTTCTTGACAACAGTTGCACATACTGAAATGAAATATGGTATAGAGATTTATCAGATGAATATCTAGGTCAAGTTTTGTATATTTGCGCCATTTTTGACAGAGCTTATGCCCCTTGGACTTAGAAAAATTCCAATTAAATGCAGTTTCCGTTCTTTTTTTCGCAGAGGTTGCACATATTGAAATGAAATTTGGTATACTGTAAACCAACTTTTATTCGCGTGCGAGAAATTTTCGCGAAGTTCGCGACAGCCTCTTCATCGCGAATATTTCTCGCCGCGATCCAGTCCTTAATGTCTCTTTCTCTATTAACAACAGATAAAAAAGGCTTGATCGCGAAAATTAATCGTCGCGAACTAGTTTAACCTCGGTAAATCGCGAATTAAAGTCGTCGCGAATAAAAGTTGGTTTACAGTACATATTTATCAGATAAATATTTAGGTCAATATCTGTTCTGGGCACGATCGCTCTATTTTTGACAAAGATATGCCCCATGGACTTGGAAACGTTCCAATTTGGGGGAGGAGGCATAAGTATTTTACAAACATCTCTTGTTTCATATAAATTATAACACACTTTTCTTTTATTATGACATTTTTTTCTATTTTATATTAGAAATGATACCGGGTATATAATGTAAAAGAGCACAAATGTTGAATTCAAATGTTTGATTGCTTACAATCAAGTTTTCCAAGAATCAGGCGACTTAAGCGATTATATTTAAAAAAATAAAATGTTATCTCTGGGTGTTAGTACGGAAATTAATGTCGCAGCTGTTGCAGAGAAAAAACGCAGGTTATGTGATTTTTTTTCTGCAATAGCTACGAGGTTAATTCCTGTACTAACAAACAAACAATTAAAGACATTTTATTGCTTAATATGTTTCACACTGTATAATAGATTTGTCCGTCATTGTATGCATAGTAAATTATTGATGGAACAGCCGTTGTTTTAGAAATCTCTGAAAGTGTTTTGCTTTAGAGTTAACTGACTGATTAAGGTACATGGTTACTCTGATAAGAGAGATAACTCTAAATGACATAAATTTCTATTATTCCGTTATAAATTTGTCAAGTTGAAATGTCTTAGTTGTCCAATTTTGCCCCAGAAGCCATGCTATAATTGTTCGTATTTTACTAAGCATATTCATTTCCTTTGGAAAATCATAAGAGTTAAAGAAACATTTTATATGAGTGAGCAGAGGGTTCATGAACCTTAATAGTGGAGTGACAATCCTAGAAAAAGATGCTTAGTTTTCGAGTTTAATGGACCGGCATACCCTACGGCTGAAAGTTATATTTTATAAAAGAGACATCCCTCCTCATACATTTTCGCCCGGTCGTAGAATTTTCTC